AAAGAGAAAAGATCCCTCTGAGCATGGCCACGACAGGAACAAGACGCTGGCCTGCATGATGGAATACCATTACCGCAGCCCCTTGGAGCAAGCTCTTTTGCTAGGTAATGGAAAATTCGATGGAGATAAGTTAAGGTGAAGGAATCAAGAAACTCCACTCCTTGAGTTCAACCCTGTAGGTCTGAAGTGCAGCTGGTTTTCTGATGTCTCCGCTCAGCACAGGATTCCTAAAGAAAACCGATAAAAGCCAGAGAAGGAACATGCAAAATCAGAAGAATGGACCTGCTCTGCACAGAACACGAATAGCACAGGACAGGCTCTGGCACCAGATCCCGCTGTCCAAGACCTCAGCAGGCACTGCACCTGCAATGCAGGGTCAGATCTTTATTTTGAGAGAGCAGTTTTCCTCCAACCTGCAGGCCCAAGCCTGCTCTCGTTGAAGCAAATGACAAAACCCACATCAGCGTCTTTGGGAGAAGGCTCAGACCACCTTCACTGCTTTACTGAGTTGCCTGATGGAATTACAGTGTCACACGAATCATGGCAAGGAAGAGGAGAAATGTAGAGAAGTAGGCAATGGAGGAATGTGATGCTCAGAAGAAGAGAAATCTAAGGGCTGTTTGTTTCAAAGGAGCCTGACAGCATTTAGCCCCCAGGCTAAAATGTTCAGAAGTACCCACGGGGCTTTACAATTTTCAAATTTGGGGGCATTGACATTTTTCAGAAGTAACTTCAGTTCCTAAGTCCCGCTGACTTCCAATGATGGAGGCACATTGGAGCCTTGTCTCAGGTTTGCAAAACAGTAAATAGACTCTTAGGTCACTTTTGCATGGTTGCAAACATCATCCCCCCTCTCCTCCCCCCTAGTCATTGGGAGCTGGACATCCAACACACTTGAGTATCCCCGACAAATTCCTTTGGAAGGCTTAGATCTTGGACTGGATTTTCAAAACCCACTAGCTGATAACAGCTATGTCTAACCACAAAACTTACTGTTCCCAGGGGTGGCATGCTAAGCATTCTGTGCTGCCTGGTGTGAGCTGCCTCCTAAACCAGAAAGTGCAGCTAATTAGCAGGACAGGCTAATTACTTTGTGGGTAGGCTAACTGACACTGTCACTAAGCTGCACAAATTAGTCCACCCGAAGCGCTGTCCAGAGATACCTTGCTTCCAGTTTAGCAAGCTTCCTGTCTGGAGCAGCTTGAGGGCCCTGCTGGCAAGGATGGTAAGTTTACTGCATAGGCATAAGCGGAGAGACACAAGTTCCACTGCAAGCTCAGAGGGCTTTTTCTCCTGCGTCTCTTCAGGGACTTTTGATAATCCCAGCCTTCATCACCGAACTGCTCAGACTCCAGTGATGCACGGGACAGATGTGATGCTAAAGAGACAGCGAGAATCTGCCTTGTGCTTTGTCCGAGACACACGCAAACCTGGTATGAAACTACAGCTTCCCTCCATGCCGCTGCGTTCCACTTCACTCCGATTACCCCTGGCAACTCTGTTTTTCTTCCCCGAGTTCCCGAGCGGTCTCTCTCCATTTTTTCCCCTGCAATGTCATCTTTCATTATTCAGTAATGCTATCCCTTTCCCTCCCTACCCCCCTCTTTATTTTTTTCCCCTCAGAGGAAATTGTAATCAGCGGAAGATAAATACACCATAAAAAGGCGGCTGGGGGGAATGTTTCAAAAGTCCCCTCTGACCTCCAGGTTGGACAATCAAGTCAGTGTCTCCAAATGGGGCCACAAATTAACAAAACTATGGCAAAGGCAAACTTGCAAACTCCCTCCGTGGCTACGTCCCCTCCCTTGAGCAAGGTCTGCAGAAGCCCTTCGCGGAGGGGAGCGGGAAGAAAGGAATATGGTGCCGAGCTATTTCTGAGTTTCCATAATTAACAAGTCTTATTCTTGGAAAAGCATCAGTATGGGAAAACACTTCTAATTCCTGGTTGAAAATCCCAGAGAAGCCAGTCAAGCAAGGCTTCCTCCTGTGAGTCGGAAAGTCAAGCGCTGATGAGGTTATCTGATGGCATGGAAGCCTTTGGCATGAAAAAGCAGTGGCTGGGCAGCAGAGTTAGCTTTGGATTTGGGGCCAGATGTGCGACTGTACAAGGCAGAGGTGGGGGTGGGGACTGGCCTTCACTCAGTTCAGTCCCCCTCATTCCCTGAAGGCATGAAAATGGGACATTTGCTTATATTTGTTCCTGAAGGCTGATTCCAGCTTTGTAAGGCATCTTTTTCTAGAATGGGAGATCGCTCCCAACCCCGTGTGCTGTAAACCTGTCAGATGCATGCCACTGGCAATTAGAGTGGCATTTATCTGGTCCTGTCATCCCACGCATGGGAAGCGCTCCAAAGCGTGAGCTAAGTGAGAAAAGATGTTGCTTCATTATGGGGCAGGAGAACCCTGTCCGAAGCTAATTAGAGGAGCCAGACAGGTACGCCCAGGCGCGGAGCCTCCTATGTGCAATCAACAGCGCAGTTGGGAGGAAGGGAGGGGGGGGAAATCACATGACGAAAAATTCGTCTGGCAGCAAAGGGCTCATGTGTAGGGCTTTGGGAACAAAGGTACGCTGTGCGCCGGGCCAGGATGCAGCTATCTTTCGAGTGAACATTTGAGTAGGTGGGAAAGGCTTTCGCCAGCTCACAATAGCATTTAAGAGCGTCCCTGGAATGTCCTGTGTGGTTTCTGCGGTTCAGGAGAAGATCTCTCTCGTACATGCTTTAGGGGCTCTTTGAAACTAGCAGTGGGGCCCGAACAAAAATCCTGGATCTCCGTGTCCTTAGACTTTGCAAAGCTCAGACAAAAATATGATCCGTCCCGCTCTGCACATGGAATCATGCAGCGCCGGCTCGTTTCAGATGCCAGCCCTGCACGGAAATCATCTGGCACCGCCGGTCTGTGATCGAGCTGGGACCCGCTCCCATTAAATTCCATGTGAGTTTTTCTATTGACTTCAGGGATCAGCTCTTGTAAAGAGCCCTGCTTGGCCAGGGTGCAAAGGAGGCAGACAGACTGGACGGGTTCTTGTGACAGCATATTCTCCCCAAATTGCTTCAAGTGGGAAATCTATATGTCTTTTAGCAGACCAAATTTGGGCAGAGAGAGAAGCAAGTCAGTCTCTGGACCAGGGTGCTCAATCCCAACCCTAGTCCATGGAGCCATGGCATGCATCCCAGAGGTTGAGAAATTTGGTGATGGAGAAGCAGTGGCAATTAATACTGTCAGACTCTCAAGTCCTCCCTCCCACATGGCCAGGTCAGGGCTGGGCTATGCCCTTTCCCCACATATGGCTGGATTGGGGCCAGATCGCCCTCCTGTCCTCCTCCACACAGCTGGATCAGGCCCAGCTGCACCTGCCCAATATACAAAAGCACCTATGGACAGACCTAAAACTGTCCATCCGGCCCACAGGGAAAAGAGGTTGAGCACCACTGCTATAGACATATTTTAACAGGCATGAAACCACGTGGGCTGTCGAGAAATGTAATCACATTCTATATAACCGCAATGAAAAAGCTATAGGATTGAAGGAGGAGGAAGGTCCTCTTTTTATTGGACTTAGCAACCTCCAGGCTGTAATCTTCCCATTCAACCCAAGAGCACGATTCACAAAAGCCGCGGGAAGGGCTCATCACATTCTGCAGGCCCCGTCCACCAGAGACGGCTCCCAAGCACTGGCTGGGTTTGGGCCCAGGCTCCGAGAAGGGGCTGGGAGAGTAGAGACTTGAGTTATTTTTTTTAATTCAGAGGCTCATTCACTCTCTGAAGAAAAACAAAACCAAAAAAGGAGTTTCGCTAAAAGGGGCAACTGTAAAATAGAGGCTGGCAGCACATTTGAGGCTCTCTGCACGATCACCGGGGGAGGGAATTCTCGGAATTTTATTTGTGAGCCTTCAAATGGGAAGCGCAGCGGAGCCCAGACGGCCGGCTCCTGGGTAGGGGAAAGCACGTCCTCCTCGCTCCTTCGGTTCCTGGATGCACCTCGCCTTTATTTCATGTCGAACCCAAAACACGGCACCTCTCAAAACATCCTTCCCCCGTATTGGGTGTTTGCTGGTGTTTGGCCTTTTCTGGCTCCAGGGACTTACAGAGCTGACACAGAATATAAAGCTATGTGTAAGAAAACGATCAGAAAGCGACTGCCAGAAGGTTGTCACTCCTCCGAGTGCCTGAGGCCTTGGGCAGTTCATCATATACCTCGGTGTAATTTATGTTGGTTTTTGTATGCAGTAACATCTTTTGATGCCGGCGTATGGTCCCGTGACCAGCACGACCATAGCCCGTTTACCAAGTAATTGTTCAGTACAGCCAGGGAGGTAGTGATGTGCTACCTCATAACCTCTGATTTTGACATATAGTGCACAAACCCAACATAACCCTGCTATAAATCAATGAGATGTCATAAACCTATTAACATTTCAAACAATTCAAAAATGCTTTCCCGCCATTAGGTACAAATTGAAGCCAGATGCTTCACTCAGGGAAAGAATAATTAAGCAAGATTTCCAAAAAGAATTAAAAGCCCCCTCCCCCCCAACAACATATTCTCCCTTCTAGGCCTCCGTAAACAACTTCCAGGACAGGGCTGCATGCACTACCCCCATCTGATCATGTTAGAGACAAAGTGAGAATGAATGCTACCCCAACTGAAGCCCACAATTTGCTATATTCAGGCCTGGATCTGTGCCCAAAAACTTTTGCTAGAAAGATGGACCAGTGACAGACCTGGGTTCAATATTTCATGAGTGAACAGAGATAGAAACAAAGACTACATGTGAACAGAAATCTCAAGGTCTTGGTACTATTCAGTCCCAGCAATGGTTGGCCAGGAGATCTTAAAACCTGGATCATTCCCATTCCCGCTGAGTATAAATGCCTCCCCCTCCACCCCCACCCCTCAGAGCATGCTTGTGTTAACAGGGCAGAGAGGGAGCAGCGGGTTTTCTGGAAGTCATTTGTACCCAATCTCTCTGCAATGGTCTCTTTTGAACTCCCCGCAGATGAGAGTCTGAGTCCAAACTGTGGTGCTACCAAGAGGAAGAAGAAGCAGAGGAGGAACCGCACCACATTCAACAGCAGCCAGCTCCAGGCTCTGGAGAGAGTCTTTGAGAGGACACATTACCCAGATGCTTTTGTGCGAGAGGAGTTAGCACGGAGGGTGAACCTCAGTGAGGCCCGAGTCCAGGTGAGCAGAGGTTGCAAGGGGTGGAGAAAGCAGGCCTCCACCTCCTTCCACAGCCCAGTATCCCTTGGGGCCATCTGGAGCCTGTGTCTCACTAAAGCCCCGGCAGGGTACAACTTCCACAGGCATGACTGCCCACTCTTACAGACTGTGCCATGGCAGGCAGATGCATTAGTCTTTGATGAAACAGCCTGCATCAGACTCATTCCCAGAGACACTGCAGAGTTGAAGTTGGCTAGGTATTAACCTGGTCCCATGCTGAGCAGTCAGACTGGTACTGCTATCTGGAGACTGGGCAGATCCCTCTCCTCACTTGCACCTCCATGCCCACTTTCTGCCTTCACTCGGGCTTTGGTTAACGGTGCTGCCCCTCTGCCCCCAGGTGTGGTTTCAGAACAGACGGGCCAAGTTCCGCCGCAACGAGAGGGCTATGTTAGCCAACCGGTCCGCCTCTCTCCTCAAGTCCTACAGCCAAGAAGCAGCCATTGAACAGCCCATGGCCCCCAGGCCAACTTCCTTGAGCCCAGACTATCTCTCCTGGACCACCACCTCCCCCTACAGGTAAGTCCAGGCTGCCTTAGCACTGCCTCTCTGTCAGCCCCCAAAGCAATGTATTCCTAACCTGTTTAGAAAGGAGGTGGGGACCCAGTCAAGTGCCAACTCTAACGCCTTCCACCAACATGTAGGAAAGATTGTGGCACGGTCTTAGGCAGATTACTCATCTCTCAAGGGATGAATTAAACATGCACAGGAAACAGAGAGGACACAAAAGCCCCCAGGCAGCTCCCAATGAAGACAAAGGGATTCTTTCCATGGAGAATAGTGAGAGTTTCAGTGGCCCCTAAGAGACCAAGACAGAACTAAAAGAACTTCAGGATTACCAAAAAGAGCTCCTGCTACTAGAGCAAATGCAGCCGGCACCCAAGGTGGGGGTTCACGACATGGGACAACTACTGAACTTTGAATATTTATATGCACACAAGAGTGGAAGCTGTAGTTAGCAAAGGAAATGTTCCAAATGTCAGAACCATATAGGACTCCCTTGAACCATGGCAGCCTGAGAAGAGATGGGAGCAATAAAGTGGGGAAAAGGAAGTTCAGATGGCTTTGCGAGAGATTGTCTCTCCATTAGCCTAGAAACCCTCTATGCCAGGGGCAGCAGGGAAACTCAACCGGGTGAAATTCCTTTTAGGAGTCATTCCAGCAAAGTCAATGGAATTGCACCAAGATTGAGTTTAGCCTATTTTCAATAAGCTTGAACATCTGTATGTTGTGGATTTGAAAGGCAAGTCTGAATCTTATCATTTGATTGTTCTGATTGGGAGAGACTTCAAGGCGAGGAGGTTTATGGGACGGAGAGGAGTGAGGAGAGGGGAAGAAATTCTGAATAATAAATAAATACCAGTTTCTGAGGAGTACAAGGATAGAGACATTCAAAGCACCTTGGGTTGTGACAAGGGTTGCTGTACCATGAATGCACTGCTCTGGCTTTACTTTGCTATGGAAAGTTTATTTTATAAAAGGAAATTTATTTATTTTTTAATCACCAGGCTTCTCACTCTTGGGTTCTCTGTTAGACTCAAGGATGAGCTAAAAACTATTGAAACATTTGCCATAACAAGTGTCCTTTCGTTTCCCATAAGTGCTTTGAGATGGTTGAGTGAAGGTCCTTGCAAAGCACCCCATCACCCCACATGGCATGAGTGCAGAATACTAGCATGGAGATGATCATTTTCTTTAGAGCTGATTTGCTTTCGTGTCTGGCACCTATTTGACTCTTATGCCATCAGCCCCTGCAGGACAAGTATCACTCTTCGATTGTCATTCAGTGCTTATCTGATGGTGGGTTTCCCTGAGCTGCAAGATTTGAACTTCCAGGCATGTCCTTGTTGGGTACTTGGTACTGACGTCCATCCTAAATTCTAGGGATGAAGTCTTCTGCATGGACCTATCTCAGACTTACTCTCAAAGCTCCAGGACAGGGAATTTAATCTTATTTAAAACTGATTTCCACAAGTTGCTTGCTTTAATTTAGCAGCATAAAAATGCCAAGATGCTGCTACTGTTGTGGGAGCTGTTTACGATTAGGAAGAGCTAGTTGGTTCCGAGAAGCTGGCGGGAAGAAGCCAAGTGCCTGACAACTGGAAATCAAATTAATCAAATAGCAGTATGCTGTTCCAGCTTTGCTCACACCGCCACGGCTGGGGCTTTCCTGTAGTTCATCAGAATCTCATGACCGGTTTTGTTTAATTTGCTCCTCTTTTCTCCTTCTCCTCTTCCCACCCCCTATCCTTGTAGCCCAGTGCCATCCTACAGCTCCAGCGCGCCCACCACACCTGTCCAGGGGGTGAACATGGCCAACAGCATTGCCAGCCTGCGCCTCAAAGCCAAAGAGTTCAGCCTGCATCAGAACCAGGTGCCCACTGTGAACTGACTGCACAGCCCCAAAAACTGGGACAAAAATGCCAACGTGCCTGCCCTAGCAGGGACAGCTCCTTCCCAATCCTGAAGTGCCAGTTTGGATGGCCTGTGCCAATCTAGACCAGAACACTAGTGCCACTCAACTAATACTGATTCCAGTATCAGCATCTGCAGATGCCACTCCCATGCCCTCTTTTTTCTGTGCCTTTTGAAGGCAGAGCAAGTTGCAGTCTGGCTTTGGTAAGTGGTGTGCAACTGTAGACACATATGGAGTAAACTTGCTTCCCCCATAATAAAGGATACACACACCCATACACCCTCACACTTCAAGAATATAAAGACTTGCCAAGTTTACATGAGTTTGCTTCCAAACAGGGAAGGATCTTGGACCACTGGATTTGACCGATTTGAGTATCTTGCCTGGACAGTCAAAGAGAAGTTGAGTATCCTCCTACCCCAGGGACATGGCATTTTGCAGAGGATCACTAAAATGCATAATGTCCATTATATAGTCCCTTTTTCTTCAGTGGTCACTAAGCCATGATTGTTCAGCAGTCGCATATGTAGCCAATTCACATTAGACACCAGCACGCCCAAGGCTGATGCATCTTCTCACCTCTTTGTACATCACCAGACTGCAATGCTTGCAAGAGAGAGAAACTTTGGCAGATGGAACTGTGCACACCTGCTGTATATATTCATTATCTTGACCCTGCATTGTGCTTTGTACATTTAGGAATAGCCAGCTGCCCATGTCAACGCGAGATACACACCACCAGCCTTAACTAGTAACCAAAGAGAACGAGGATGGCTCGAGTGTCCAGAAGGACTCACTCCGTCAGCTACCTAAAAATCTCATTAGTTGGGGTCTTGCAGTTTTCTGAAAGTCAGCATTTGCTCTGTACTGTTTGGTTAAGTCCATGAACTCACAAAAAAACGTAAAGGGCTTCAGGTGCCTGAACTCTCCCAAGGAAAAAGAAAATAAAATCTGTGAGCTTTAGCTGAATACCCAGTTGTTAAATCTCTATGCAAACAGTACTAAAGCCAGCCTCCTTCAGAGACACAGCCTCCCTTACAGAACTGCATTCCCTGGATGTGGTCAGTGGCCCAAGCTTGTAAATTAAATTCCTGCAGCAGAAAGTGGTTGGGTTTCCCCTTTTCTCCACCTCTTTTTTTCCACAAGGGGGACTTTCAACCCTGTATCATCTCCCCAAACTGTTCGGTCCCCCCTTCCCTTGACCCCATTGTGAATTTAGACTTAACAATAAGTCTATCAGTCTTTTTAAGAGTAAATATGGCAACTTCTGAGGTACCTTCATGAGACCCTGCTCTATTGTAAGTGCAGGCATTTTGTCTTAGCTCATTCTGTGGAGTCCAAATGTCCGGGTACCTCACACTGAGGCATAAAACCCAACATTGGCAGTAGTTACAGATGAGAAAAAGTGCCAGGAGAACAGCACATGTGCACAGGAAGAGAGATCACCCATAAAGATAATCTTACTTCTCCCTTGCCTCCCCCACTCATTGCTTCTCTGTGAGCATCCTCTTATTTAATGAGCCTTTGGCTGGAGCCCAGTACACTAACTAACAACAGGAATAATCTCAGAACCAACTGTTTCTCCTCCACAAATACAGGTGCTCTGTGCTTGAGCTAAAGGAGAGTCCCCCATAACCTGTAGCATTGTTAGGGTTTGCATCTGGTTTAGCTACAGTAGGACCACGCTCTTATAAGCAGTCCTGACCTTCTGTCCAGGGCAGGAGAGAGAAAAACTTGAGCTCCTCTGTAACACCTTGCTGCGAGGTCTGCAGAGGCCTAGATCTTCTGGTTGAACCAGCAGGGACATATTGGGTTGGATGTTCCTTGTCAGCCTGCCCCAACACAGGGAAGGGGTTTCCAAAATTGAGATGCCAACCCCTCAGGAGGATTAGCTTTAATTGAACTAAAGGACCTGAACTTCCTGTTGTCATAGTGCTGTCAACAACACCAAACCTACTCAAATGATGAGGCAGCTCTGGATGTTCCCCAAACAAATCACAGGTCTGTGGAGGGCCCTCCTTATGCTGCTGCCAAAACCACTCTAGGCTGCACATCCCCTATAATAATACTTTATTCGATTCCAGCAATTGTTTACACACTTCCTAAGTAGCCATTGTGTTAGGGGGATGCTGAATTACTCCTAGAATTAAAAGGTGAACCTAAGTGACCTAGAAGTATGCATTCCTTCGGCTTTCAACAGGACTCGTGCACCAGCGACACTTGAGCAATTTTGAAATCCTCTTGCACTAGGTCCTTAACGAAGCTAAAGGGTGCCATCGGCACGAAAGGCCAGATTTCAAACAAGCCCACATCAAAAATAATTAGAATTATTTCTATGGCTCCCTTTTTTGTTGCACTTGAGCTTTACAGAATCTGTTATGCTTTGATCCTCACAACACCTGCGAGACAGGGTTATTATCCCCAGTTTGCAGATAGGAAAGGAGGCACGGAGCAGTGAGAAGATATCACTTTAATGGCCTAGCTAACACAATGCAGGGTATGTGCACACTGAAGCCCAAGCCCTGCACTTTTCCCCTGGTCCCTGATATTTCTTTCGAAATGCAATTTCAAATGCAGATTTTCCAAAATCACCACAGTGAGGTCTGGACTCAGGCATTCACAGGATATGGCTAAAACACTGAATAAATAGCAGGTAGGAAAAATCTGGTCTTGAGCTCTTAGAAATCTCCATCTCCATGAGACCAAACAAGCTCCTTAGATTTCTCAGTGCAATCCCCTGTAGATAGGATTGTGTCATGCACATTCCCGTGACTGCTGCATACCTTGTTCTATGACTTAAGGATGCATCTTGGGCAATTATTACACCCTTGGCAGTTTCAGCCATGTCTCAAAGACCAGGTAACTACAGCAGAAAGAGCACGGTTTCGAGGGGCAATTATTTAGCTAGCGAGAAAAAGATCTTTTCCGAGCACTTAGGAAATAGCTGTGATGCTTCGTGCTAACCTATGGGTGAATGCCAGCAAAACAGGGGTCAGGTCCATTGGCACAAGCCAAGAGCTCAGGAGTAGGAAACTATTAAAGGGCAAACAGAGCAAGAACAAGCCAAAGTGTATGTGGATGCAGGGCGATTGCTTTGGGTGAAGCTCCCACTGCATTAGTTCCAGGTTAATGCTAGAAGCCACTGCAACAGCACAGGACAAACAAGCCTGTGATTGAAACTCCACTTTACCCCCAAGGAAAAGACGTTCTCAAGCAGGGAACACTATATTTCCAGCACCAGCAAGTGAGCCAGCCCCTCACTGAATAACAGTAAAGGGAAGATCGTATTAAGACCTCATGGGCTAGCGAAGACATGGATTCATTGTAGATAAAAAGCCCACCATGAGAAACTTTGCTTGAGGGCTGGAGGAAGGGAAATTATGAAGCTTTCATTCCCATGGCAAGCACAGGGCTCTTTGTCAGTTATACAAGATAAAACCACAGGGATATAAATGTCACTCCCTCTTTGCGAGCATTAATGAAAATAAACCCGGTTAATAGTTTGCAGATGCTGTTTCTGTAAACCTAAAAAAAGAAGGGAATAAATATTTCTTTGCAGAATAGATATATGTATATATATTAGAAAACATTTGCTCTTAATCTTACAGTCCCTTCACTTGCTGCGCGATCTTGGCAGCTTATCTAAGATTGTCAGTCGCTGTTAAAGCATTACAGAGACAAGATACAAATTGCCTCAGTGCAGCAATACCAGAAACTAGGGATCATCATAATCTAAGCTTGCTCTCTCCCTTTTTATTTGTACATTTCAATTACTTGTAATAGGATCTATGGTGGATTTTTTTTTTTTTGCATGTCTGCGTTGGGGGTTTTTTTTGTATGTTTTTGTAAAAACAACTCTTGTGAAATAATTGAGAAATAAATATTTTACTGAGTAGTTCAGTGTCTGAATACGTGAAGGTGGAGCCAGTTTTTCCAAGTGTTGGCTCTGCTGATGCTGGTGTGATGCCCACAGCTGAGCAGGGGGAAAGTGGGAGAAAGAACTTTAGCTTTCTTGGGCATGGACCAGTGATAGGAGGGGAAATCACAACCAGGAGCCTTTAGTAGCATGAGATAGCTGCCTCCATCCTCTCCATGGCACTCATCTGTTCAAGCACCATCAAGGGTTAATTCAACCACTGTGCCATTGCCATTATTATTACAAAGTGCTCTACCAGCTCCTTCCCTTGGAGGCAACATAGGCAGTGCTGGGGAGGGAGATTTTACCATCTGCTTTGCAAAGCCTGGCTCAACATGGCAAGTCAAAAACAGGAAGCAGATAGCCCAAGTCCTGTTTGAACCACCAGAAGAGTTGACAACTGACCCTGCCTTCTCTTAGGAAGTCAACCCCTCCCTCAAGCATTTGGCTGATTCCACGCTAATGTTTCCCATTAGGTCAGGTACCAAGATAACTCTAGTGATGGGAAGTTGAGCCTGGTTTCTAGCCCTTAACACTGATGTTTTGGAGCCATGCACTCCAGCACAGACCTGGAGTGGCTTGGTAGGCCAGGCCTGGTGGCACTGAAGCAATGAGCAGGACCCTTCCTGGGCACACTGCAAGCCTTGTTCAGGAGGAATGAAAGCACACGGTGGAGACAGAGCTGCCCAAGGTCTCCCCTGACCCACCATGGTCTTGGCTACAGTTGAGTGGGAGGCGTGGGGAACTGCAACTTTCCTGCCAATGAATTTACTAGAATTCCTCAAGCTAAGAGGCTTTCAAACCTCTGCATAGTTTTTGTCCAGAGGGAATAGAAACTTGCACCCAGAGACGCAGAAAGCTGCTTTAATGAAGGCCCCTGCACTGCAGTTACTTTCTGGGCCCTGCCAAAGCCTGATTATTTCATTACGTCTCACAGCGCAGTAAGTGCTGGTTGGGCCTTTTTTCCTAATAAAAATACCCCAAGCGTCTGAAGGGACTGAGTATTGTCAGAGCCAATAGTCTTTGCTCTAGGCAGGCAAAGCCCCATGCCTTAATTCTACGTGAAGGGGAAAAGACCCATGATTGCCCCCCAGTATGAATACTATTACTCTCCCATTACAAGGACAACAACTCCTTGCCACAGCCCTTGCCCTGCCTCAGCGACTCCTGCCTAGGAGGTTGCCCCAGTGTTATGTTAACATAGTCCTTACACCCTAGGAGCACCTGGCAGCAAGGAGCCCAGGAGAGCACAGAGCTGACGCTCACTATCAAGTCACCTTCCTTTCCCGTTTGCCGAGCACTGCTCATGAGCAGAGAAGGACTCGAGCAGTCGCACGGAGGCCTGCGTTCTGGATACTACGGAGCTGGAGGCAGTTTGGGTGCAAGGGCTTTGGGTCAAGGAGGAAACCAGTTTAAAATCTTCTACCTCACACCTGACTGTAAAACACTTCTGCTGCATGAACAGCTTGGGGGAGGAAGATTTAGTAACAGACTATGAATAAAGCCCTTTTCTGCCAAATCACCAGTTCAACTCTAGCCTGGCACAGCTATAACCAGGGATGAAACCCATTAACAAATGATTGATGCTTAGGCCCAGCAGATGCATGTTCTTGTTACAGTCCTCCCCTCTTCTCCTTCCCCCACTGCCTCTCACTGGCAATCACAGCAGAGGCCCCCACAGATTCACTGGGTAATAACAGCTCCAGCTTAAAACATCAGGTAGGTTAGTGGGACAGCACCTGGGGCTGTGCTTTCCTGCTCGGAGCAGAAATGTTCACTCTAGAAATGAAGTTGGGCACTCTCTGGTGTCACATGGGTGCACAAATGCAGTGCTGGGCTCACAGAAGCCGCCTGCCTTTCAAGTGCATCCAGGTGGGTACTGGCAGCATCAGCTGGCGGGCTTCCAGTCCCATTGATTCAGCAATGAGTGTGAAGGCATGCTCCTCAAAGGATGGGTTGGATCAACCTGGGTTCAGCTCTGTTCTGAAGAAGGCTGTGCAGCCTTTCAATCAGGGAGCACAAGGCCAAGGTGCTACTACCTCTGAATGGCCAGGCTGAGGGGAAAAGAGAAACCACCCACAATAGGCTTGGGAAGAATGGGGGAGCTCTCCCCACTGTATTTCCATATTCACTCCAGATTCCTAGTAGCCCAAGTTATTCAGTTACCTGAACTAAAGAATGGCCATGGTCCTCTTGTTTAGGGTGACATACCAAAGGGCAACACCACCCTGCCAGCTCAATGTGGGACGAGTTATCCAAAGCAGATCATGCCTCATACTCAGTTTTGCCCTTACCAAGGTCCACTAAGCGGAGCTTTGCAAGTTTGCAGATTCATCTCCTTCATTTCTCAGCCAAGAACATAGAGAGAAGCACCAACCATCTCAACTCCAGTTACCCAAGACATTTGCTGCATGAGATGACTCCCTACTTCTCAGACACAGCTTGAAAAGCCCACAGCTATTTCTGATAAGAGGCCCTTTCCAAGTGTTCCTCCTGTGTCACTAGGACAAGAGTCTATCTTTTCTATTTACCCAGAGGAGCTTAGTTCTGATACAGCACATGGAATCCAATTTCTCCTTTGGTTAGCTCAGTGCAAACCCATGAGACTCAACCAGGCCTTCCATATCTTGTATGTCTCATCAGATTCATAATATTATGCAGGCAACACAACTAAAGGGTTACAGCTGGGGTAGGAGCTATGCAGAGACATTTCTAGGAAGCCACAATTTTTCTTGGAGAAACTGAGAAAGATGATCACAGGATTTTCTTTCTAGAGGCAGAGGGCCATGGGGAACCCACAGCCTTCCTGGCTTTCTAGCATAAGACGACACAAACTCCTTTCAGAGACAACTGCAACAAACCTGCGAGTGGCAAAGACTTTGTGGCTGCTGTACTCCCCAAGCACACAATCATTACAGTAACTTTAGATTAGCCATCTAGATTTTATTCCTTTGTTAGCTTGGGTCATGGAATTGATCTGATGGCCCCACTGTGAACGTGCCATTATGAGCTCTCTACAGAAGGACACCTTGAAGTCAGCATCTGCTAAATAGAAAGCTATTATATGAATGGGACCTTTGATTAATCAGAGGGTCTATCACCTTTGGTACCTTCATGCTTCCTACCAGTCTGTCCTCCTGACCTCTTCAATCTTTTGAGAAGAGGAGCATGGCAGGAAAAGGCAGGAGGAGGAGAATGCATTGGAAAAAACTGTTTTCAAGGGGGAACCCTCTGCATTTCACCCCCATAGCTGTTCAGATGTTTATAGGTGTGACAGATCAGACCAGCAGCACTTAAAGGCAGTTTGCCACTACAAAGAAATTCCAGCCAAAAGAATAAAAGAGACTTTTTGTCATATCCCTTCCAGAACAGCAAAGCCACAATGAGTGTCCTGAATGTACAGCAATGCATGCATGTTGTTGGCACCAGTCACATGGGTAGATGGCAACTTCCACTTCCCTTCATTTCTTCACATTACAGAATCCTTTTCAGACCCACCCAAATGCTGCTGCATTTTTTAAAAAGTTGCGTTAGAAAAGCGTATCACCGCAGCATCGGCCAGCATTTCGTCACCAACTGCATGTGTATTGTGGTAGCACACAAGGATCCCAGCCGTGGATGGACAAAAAGATGCTCCTGGCTCAAAGAGCTTCCAGTCTATAAGACAAGCCAACAGGTGGGTACAACAAGGAAGTCAGGAGGCAATAATGGTCAGCACGATAGACAGTGGTCAGAGCACTTCAGCTGCCTGACCATTGTCAAGTTTTTCATGCCACTTAGCTACCACTTTGTAACCACTGAGCTGCTAATTAATAGATTTAAGGCCTATTATGGTCATCCCCTCTGACCTCATGCCTAACACCAGAGTTTCACCCAGTAATTTCTTGCATTTAGATCCAATAACTTGTGGTTGAACTAGAACATCTCTTTTAGAAAGATATCAATCTTTCCTTAAAGATTCAAAGATGGAAAACCCACCACATCTACTGGTAGATTGTGCCAATACTTAGTTATATTCTTTACATTAAAATAGGTACCTTATTTCCAAGCTGAATTTTTCTAGTTTCAGCTTTTGGCCATTTCATCTTGCCATGCCTTAACTATGTAGCATCTAGCTGATAATTGCCTCAGCAACATTTTTTTTATTTGGGGAAGATGTCATAAATAGCCAGTGACCCATCATGCCGACTGAACGGTCTCTGTTCAGGAACCCCTCCTGTAGAAAAAACTGGAATCCTGACAGAGCAGAACTGTGCCCAGAAGGGGTTTGCCTTCCTCTAAAAAGGCTTATTTTTAAATTTTTCCATCAGGAAACTGAAAATGCCAAAAAAAAAAACAATTTTCAGCTGAAGACTGAATTTTTTTCTTTGTTTGGGGCTAAAAACTGAATTTTGGGGAGGTTTTAGGTGATGGGAGAAGTAGATGTTTTTTAATCAAATTTTTCTTAAAAGTTGTTTTCATCAAAATTTTCTACTGTCACATTTGTCCATTGGCATGGTACACCAGGGCTGCTAACCTGGTTTTAGTTCCCGAACATGAGCTCTGTGGCCATCTCGTGGCAAAACAATTCTCAGTTCATGCCTCTGTCTGCTGGATACTTCTCCCTCTTGTGGCAAAACAAAGGCCTGCAAAAATTGCAAAATCCATCCTGATACCTCCTTTTCTGATGATCCAGAAGCAGGAGGCACTTGTGAGCAGGTGTGCCTCCCCAGCTCTGCAAACCTACAGGCTCCCGTCTCTATTTATACTGCTGACTGCCCTGCCCCTGATACTCAGCCAGTAACCACCCACTTTTCAGCAGCTGAAATCTGAAAGAAACTCCTCAGGAAAAAAAAGGCAAAAGGCTGATCTGCTATCATGAAGCTCTCAGGCAAATTGCAATATCCGTTTTGTGGGGGTGAGGAGGTAGTCAGGGTCCAGAGAGAGCGAGCCATGCTAAGCTACCAAAATCCCATACTCCGTACCTACCGCAAGCACATCATCACCTTCCTATACAC